ATATATGAACTTGATATACTCTAAATAATTTATATATTGTTTATACATAAATATATACATAAAAACTAAATTGCTACAGAAATATTAAGCAGCTGAACAATTTTCAACATTGATAATAATCAGAAATGTTTCAGCTAATCAGCATATTGTGATTTCACAATATTACTGTTTTTACTGCCTTTTCGATTAAATATATGCAGCATTGGTGAGCCTAGGAATCATGTTTTGAATGGTATATAGCATGTGTTTTTGTAGTGTATTAGTTGACAGATATTATATATAATTAATGAAGATGTCTTGTTTGCCTTATAGGGTGAACGCGATATGTCTATTAGATCAGTTTTACTTTTTCTGCGATTCAAAACCTGGCAACAGAAATCAGAGCCGTGAATCAACAAGAGCATCTTATCTCTAAAATGCCCCTCACTCCCACATCACAAAGAGCAGCAGCAGCTCAGAAAGCAATCCCTCGCGGAAAACACTCAGAGAGAGAAAACACAGACAGAGAAAGAGACCGACTGACAGACAGACAGAGCCAGAGAAACACACCAGCGTCTAGCTGAGCCAAGGAAGCCGAGATCTGAGGGGAACCCTCAAGAAACCGCTAAATAAAACATCAAATAACTCTCCCTTCCCAAGCGTGTGTGAAACAGATTAATGATGGAGCACAGAACGAGATGTGAGGTGCAGATGAAGCCGTCACTGGCAACTGTAAAGGAGGAAAAAAGGTCAGTCGTGCTTGATAAAACCGTGACTGCTGTGTGCACCTCCTTCTGGGATATGCTGGGAACACTTAGGCATCGCCTTGTGTTTCATCTCTGCCTGCAAATATACTTGTCATCTCATACGCTGACATATGACATGCACATCTACATAACAAAAGACAGAGAGGCGGCTGTTCACCATGTACTTTGTGTTTTTCAATATCTGAGGCTGCAGTGCTTTAATAATAGTTAAAAAGATGCTTGTGATTTGTCATGTCTTTACTGCATTAACATTTATAGCTATTTGTATTTAACATTTAGGAGTATATTTTTGTTTATTTGGATAGACACTGATACATAAACTGCCGTATACAAGTTTTTTTAATTTTTTATTAATACTTTTTATTATATCTATTTACTACTTTTTCAATCAAAGGCTGTTCTTTTGAACTTTTGTTTATCAATTAATCCTACAAAAAAAAAAAAAAAAAAAAAAAAAATGCCACAAAGATATGGAGCAGCACAACTGTCTTTATAACACTGATAATAAAACACTGATAATAAACAGAAATGTTTCTTGAGCATCAGCTAAGCATATTACAATGATTTCTGAAGGATCATGTGACACTGAATACTGGAGTAATTATGCAGAAAATTCAGCTTTGATCATAGCAATAAATTACATTTTACAATATATTCACATAGAAAACAGAAAAATATTATGTTGTAATAATATTTCACATTATTAGTGTTTTATTGTATTTTGTATTAAATAAATGCAGGCTTAATTAATCCAAAAAAAAAAAAAAAAAAAAAAAAAAAAAATGCCACAAAGATATGGAGCAGCACAACTGTCTTTATAACACTGATAATAAAACACTGATAATAAACAGAAATGTTTCTTGAGCATCAGCTAAGCATATTACAATGATTTCTGAAGGATCATGTGACACTGAATACTGGAGTAATTATGCAGAAAATTCAGCTTTGATCATAGCAATAAATTACATTTTACAATATATTCACATAGAAAACAGAAAAATATTATGTTGTAATAATATTTCACATTATTAGTGTTTTATTGTATTTTGTATTAAATAAATGCAGGCTTGGTGAAAAAAAACACTTTTTTGACTGTTTACTTGAATTATGAAAACAATATTTACTTAAGAAATACTTGAAGACTAATTTGTTAATATTTATATTAATATTTTGCTTTAAAAATAATTTATTTATTTATTTATTTTTAGTTTAATATCCCTGGTATACACTTTTCTAAGCTCCTATGTTATTATTTGCTGTATGAATCAGTGTCTATTCAGTGAGATCATGTTTGTATTTAGACAGAGACAAGGAAACAATAGATGACGTTAGCTTCTGGTAAAAGCTACTGTACTTAATGTCTTTTAAAGAAACTCTATGCCTGAGCCGAATTCTATTACGCCGGCAGATTTCTGTCTACAGAGAGCTGATGCTCTTTCCGTGCAGAAAAGCCAAGAGTAAAATTATTGTGGCCAAAACCTGAAACTCCCATTTTCAACCCAAATATCCATTACCCAGCATCCTGTGTGTTCCTATTCTGCTGTTGAGCAGGTGACCTTTGACTGGACCGCATATACATGCATGTGTGTGTATTTATATATACATAATATACACAGTACACACACATATATTATGTAAACAAAAAACTTTTATTTTGGATGTGATTAATCGTTTGACAGCACTAAATAGTACTGAATGAAATATTATTAAAACATATAATATATAATAAAAATATAGGCCTAGATATAGACCTATATTTATATTACAATGATTTCTGAAGGATCATGTGACACTGAATACTGGAGTAATTATGCAGAAAATTCAGCTTTGATCATAGCAATAAATTACATTTTACAATATATTCACATAGAAAACAGAAAAATATTATGTTGTAATAATATTTCACATTATTAGTGTTTTATTGTATTTTGTATTAAATAAATGCAGGCTTGGTGAAAAAAAACACTTTTTTGACTGTTTACTTGAATTATGAAAACAATATTTACTTAAGAAATACTTGAAGACTAATTTGTTAATATTTATATTAATATTTTGCTTTAAAAATAATTTATTTATTTATTTATTTTTAGTTTAATATCCCTGGTATACACTTTTCTAAGCTCCTATGTTATTATTTGCTGTATGAATCAGTGTCTATTCAGTGAGATCATGTTTGTATTTAGACAGAGACAAGGAAACAATAGATGACGTTAGCTTCTGGTAAAAGCTACTGTACTTAATGTCTTTTAAAGAAACTCTATGCCTGAGCCGAATTCTATTACGCCGGCAGATTTCTGTCTACAGAGAGCTGATGCTCTTTCCGTGCAGAAAAGCCAAGAGTAAAATTATTGTGGCCAAAACCTGAAACTCCCATTTTCAACCCAAATATCCATTACCCAGCATCCTGTGTGTTCCTATTCTGCTGTTGAGCAGGTGACCTTTGACTGGACCGCAGGCAGATGCACCGCGGTGGGAGAAAGAATTTATCCAGCACCAACCCAACCCCAAAATCTGCATGGATCTCCCCCGCTGATGGTGTTCGATATGTCAGTTCAGCTCAGAGTTTACCCTCACTTCCTGATCTATTTATAGATGTCAGCATTCTATCACTCTCATTTCCCCAAAGGCAAATACGAGAGAGCATGTGAGCGCTTAAAACGGCCATGGGAAGCAATTATTGTGGTGTAGTGTTAAAAGACTGTAGGGGAAAACTGCACTTTGGCTTCACTGGATCATCACTGGATATACCATATTATTATATTTACAAAAATAACTACATTTTTAATTCAAAGTAATTGCGCTTTAATTGTGGCTAAGAAATTACCCCCCAAAAGATCACATAAAGTAATTATTGTGTTAAATGAGAAAAAAAAAAAAAAAAAACATTGAATAGCCAATTATATTTAAATATGTAAACATGGAATTATTTTTTATTTTAAATAAAACAAAACTCAATATTAAACCAAAAATACCAGTAGGTGGCACCAAGTCACTTTCTTAATAAACAAGTACTTCAGACATGCATTCAGCTGATTCGTTCAAATGGCTGATTCATTCAGAAACAAAGCATATGACTGTCTTCATGAATGAGTCACTGAATTATTCACTCACTCGATTTGTTCAAACGGCCAATTCATTCAGAGACGAAGCAAGTGGCTGTCTTTATGAATGAGTCACTGAATCATTCACCACTCGATTAAAAAAACATTGATTCATTCAGTAACAAAACACTGCCGTGTGTTGCTCGAAAAGACAACTGGACAACTGACTAGAACTATTTTCGTTTGTGAAATTGAACAAAACATACAATACTGACAATATTGTGTCTAAAATTTAACACAATTTTCACTTATGAAGACAATATGTCGTCCCAATAAGACCACATATGAACTAGGGGTGTGCAATATATATCGTCTGCGATAATATCGTAATTGTTGTTTTAACGATGTGCGATTTGACATTATCGAGTATTTTGCAAAAACCATTCAAAACATCCCTACAGAGCACACGCATACAGTACGTGAAGTCTAGACTAGTGCGGGTGCGCATTTAGTGTGTTTTCTTTCACTGCATGATTCAGTCTATTAAAATGCATTTAGAATGATCACAAATTCAAGACATGATGGCAGAAAATGTATATATTTATACCACTTCATATAGTTATTAAATTTCACACGAAGAGTGCCGATTTTCTCCAAAAATTACCATGATTACAAATGTGACATTGAATTCAATAAACAATAAGTTAATTAAGAGACTTACGTTTTAGACACCATATTGCTTGTTTTTGCTCTATTTTCGCCAACCAAAAATCATTCCAAATAGTCACCACAGAACAGTTCTGCGTCTCTGAGCAATGACGGTGTTTCGTTCCGAATGAATCAACCATTTAAATGATTCGGTTCAGTCGCAATGACTCA